AGGTAGAAAATGGGGAGGAAGAAGGTACTAGATATGGGGGCATCATAGAGTCCAGTACAAAGGGAAGTGGCTGGTGGGAAATGAAAACATGGCTAGCCTGTGAGCTTTTCTTAAATGGAGGCTTCGAGAAGAGGTTTTTGCTCCACTTGCAAATCCTCAGTCAGAGGGACAGAAAGTAAGGAGGGCACCAAGGAGGTGTGAATGCCAAAGCTGAGGCAAACTCTAAAGATGCTGTGTTTCCTGGAGCCATGGTGGAATCCAAACCAAGCAATGTAGCTGTTGGGGAATGGATAGTGTTAATTTGATTACTGTTCCCAACCAAGAGGTGGAATGAAGGATGGGGGTGGGGTCTTACCTTTGTCAAAATATTTTTGAGATACCCTGTTTCCCAGAGCTAAGACCCAGCAGGCAGGCTGTGTCCTGAACTTGACATAACAATAATCTTTTGTGCTCAAGATGATGTCACCCTCTGGCAAAGTATATTGCTTGGACCAGCACCAGATGTTCACTGAGGGATTTAGGACCAGCACCAGATGTTCACAGTCCCTGTTCCTTGTCACTAACAGGCACTGCACTCCTGTTCCCATCACAGAACTCTGGTTGAGTGGGCACTACCCCAAAGACTTGAGATACTGTTCCCACAGGGCCCATGAGAATAACTCAGGAGCTAAAAATGATTATGTCATGGTCCAGCCTTGAATGTATGTAAGAGCTGCATTTAGTCGAGTATGTTAAGCCCTCCTTTTTAGGAGGGGGTTTTCTGTTTGCAAATGTCATTTTCCTCTCTCTGAAATTAATTAAACTACCGTTTGTGTCCTGACTTTCCTGTCTCTAGCCTGCTCTCTTTATTTGGATCCAGCCACCTACAGATTAGAGGCTGGTTCTGGTCCAGTTGACACCTTCTATGGTAAGAAGATGATTGGAGTGTAACAGGATAGGAAGCTAGAGATGATGAGTTTTCACTCCCCCAGAAAATATGGACTATGGCCTCAGGATGGGATTTGGAGGACCATGTTGGGGAGAGTATGTGGTAATGCATGGCGTCATGGCAGATATTTTAAGTCCAAATATGAAGCAGCATGAGGCCTGAGCTGACTCCTCTGGGGAGGGTCCTTGTAGGTGGGACTTGTAGGAGAAATGTTTCATCCCACAAATAGTGCCTACCAAGATGGCGCTAGATTGGGACCCAAGGTTTGAAATATGAAGAAACCTTTGCTCCCTGCCCTCAAGGGCCTCATAATCCAGAGAGGGAGCTGAGCCATGGGCACAAAGAACTGGGATCCAAATTAGACTATGATACACTCATAAGACATTCTGAGGAGGCTACAGGAGGGAGAGCCCTCCCAGGTGAGGCATCAAGCTCTAGGCCAGGGCTGAGAGAGACCACTGAGCCCACTGCCCCTAACTTCTTTCAGCTCAGTCAGAGGCAGGGTTAAGAATGTTTTTCAAAGGGGGGATAGAAGGAAGATCATCAACACTTAGGATGAAGTAGGGGATAGAGGGGTGCAAAGGAACACTGAGTCCCTCTGGAAAATAGAGAGTCCTATCACCCTAGTCCCTGCCAAATTAAGATAGGTTAGATTTACTCTGCTTGGTCTCAGAGGGCAGAACCAGAAACAATAGGTGGATGTGTAGCAAAGAGGTGACATATTTAGGCTTGATGTCAGGAACAAATTTCTTAATCGTTATGGCTTTAGAAAGTTGTTCTTCTGAAGGAAGGCCCCCAGCATGTTCAGTGAACCACTGCGGGAGGATCTACCAGAGGACATGGCCAGGAGTCACACAGGATGAGTAGGAATGGATGCATTGCTCTCTGCTCCATGGGAAGAATGACTCTCATGGAAGAGATCACATATCTATCAACATAGCAAAGTAGTAATTGTTTCAAAACGGTGGCTCTTCTCCTAACTAGGGCAGGGTCTCTTAAGGATTTGGGCTGAATAGACCTTTTACTTCTCTTTTATCTCTCACAGCTTTAGCTTAGGGGCTGAACACAATTAGTCTGAGAGAAATGATTATTTTTCTCTTCTATTAAGAACTAATTATTGTATTGAGACCAAGATTTTTCCCCTTTTCTACTTCTTCATCCAAAAATCAACCAGTGTGGGAAATCTTTCTGAAAGACTTACCCAGCCAAGATAGCTGAGATCTAATCAAAGACAGTAGAAGAAATTCTAAGTTTAGGCTAATGGATACATTCCTGCTCACTGTGGTTGTTCTGATAGATCTGGGAAAATGTGGATTCTCCCTTTGTCAGACAGGTGGTAGGGAAATTGATTAGTCTCTTTTACTGAGATTTGGGTGATTCAAGTCATGTACCCCAAGACCCTCGTTGTATTATAGCCCAACCTCTCATTGTAATATTTATTCTCTCATTAATTGTTAACCTATAAGAGTGATTACACCTTCAAGAACACCTGCTCTTCCAAGGCATATAAACTGTGAGCCTATTGTCAGGAGGGATCTTTGGTCTAAAAGAGATGGCCAAATGACCATCCTTTTTATTAATAATCATACTGGCATTGTTAATAAAAATGATTTAATTACCCAGGCACTATGTCTCTCAAACTTTGTAAATGTCACAAGTTTGTCACTCAACAAACATTAATTGTTTACTTACTACAGGCAACCGTGTTAAGCACTGGGGATACAAATATAAGGGGAAAAAAAACCAGTCCCTGTCATCATGGATTGCATTACATTGTAATGTGGAAAGACAACACAAAAGGAGCTAAAAAGGGTGTGGGGTTGAGGGATGGGAAGGACCTGGTTTAGGCCCTTCCCCTGAATGAAAGTTCCGGGAAGAATTGGAGAAGGGGAAGCACATGCTCAACATGTTCTTCTCTAATCTTATAGTCCCCAGCCTTTTAAAGGATTGGTGACATATACTGAAATTGATCTAGTGTGTCTAGGCCTAAAGTTCAATAGGCAAAGAATAGATCAATTGGCCTTTGAAAAATTGCCAAGTTCTTTGACCCCAAACTCCTCCTTTTAAAAAAGCTCCTCCTCTTTTAGAACCAATATTATTTTGGTGATGTTGTATGGCCTTGAACTGTGAATTAGAGTGTCTGAAGCATTGATGATGTCACCAAATGAGCAATGAAATAGTGCATGGTGGATATGACCCACCTGGACCACACTGCAAATGAAAGCTTGAACAAAAGTCATATAAAAGTCACCATAGACATGTTTGACTAGAAAAAAGTGCCCAGTCATTCAAAGAGAGCAAGGTATAGCCAATAGAGGGTCCAAATCCTCTACACCAGTAGCATACCAATTCATGGAAGGTCAAGAGACCCAATGGAACCCTCTCCCCAAATAGATTGTATCGTATCATTGGTTGACAGAATCTGACCCATCTTAATCATAGCTGTACTGAAACTTCACATTGCCTTAAAGTCTGGCATATAAGTTAGGGTAATACTTTGACAAAGGATTTACCTCTTTAGGCTTCTTTTCCCTGAACCATCAAGTGAGATATTTGGAATAGATGACCTCTAAGGTCCTTTCGAGACATAAATCTATGATCCTATAATTCTTGAATGAACTGTTCTTGGATGTCCTCGTTTTCAATGTGTACCACAGTCTGTGGCTTGGCTTTCCCCCCACCCCTACCCAACACCACCTTGACATTTGATTCTGCTCATTTCCCCTACTGAGGTCACTAGACACCATACTGTTGAGTTATGAGGGAATCCCCAAGCACTGGGGCTCTCTTTGATAGAGAAAGTGGAAAAGATTAAAGTGACCACAGAGACCGAGATGGTAAGGCATTCAGAGGAAGAGAAAACTTTACTGAGTCATGGATTTGTTGAGTTGGAAAGAACCTCAGGGGCTACCTAGTCTACCTGAACAAGACAGCCTTCTACGATGCCCTTAGAACGTAGTCATTTAACCTTTGTTTAAAGATCTCCAGTGATGTCTGGGGGGGACCAGTTGGTGCTGACTTACTGATTTCACTAAATAAGAGTTCTAATTATGAGAACTCAACTTCCAATTTTACTTTATCCTGGAAAAAGGCTCAAGGGGACAAGTGAAGAGGGAGTTTTGCTGTAGAAAGCAGTGTGGTGCAGTGAAAATAGTCCTCAATTTGCAATCAAAGGGCTTGGGTTCAAATCCTGACTTTACCAGTGACTATCTAGTGTGACCTTGGAAAAGGCCTCAGTTTCCTCAAATGTAAAATGAAAGAGTTGTACTAAATAGCCTAATTGCTCCCTTCTTCCTCTAAATCTGTGATCCTTTATGAATCCTAGACAGTGAGAGAATACACAAGGGGTTTCATCAGAGGAAATTAGCCTTGAGCTTAGTCCCAGAAAGGGTGATCTGGGATCAATGGTTGAGAATTACAGAGATTTCACTTCAATATAAGGGGGAAAAAGCTTGTTAATAACCAGAACAATCCTTCAATGGAATTGGATGTTTTAGAAAACAGGGAGCATCAGAACATATTGTTAGATATCTTCAAGCTGAGGTTGGGTGAACACTCATTGAGGAAGGTATAGAAGGGATTCTTTGTCAGGGCCAGGTTGAATTGGTTCACCTCAGAGGCCCCTTCCCTTGCTGAGTTTCTCCGCCTGCAGAAATGTGAACAAGTAAACCTTATCAGTTGTAAAGGAACACACACACACACACACACACACACACACACATACACACATACACACACACACACACACTCCTAAAGGATACTGTAATGAAGGTCCTCTAGGCTGGATCATTGTGTCCATCATGAATCCTAGCACTTTCTAAATTTAAACAACAGTTACAGATGGCTTATGGTCCCACACTCCCTCCCTATACTTCCCAGCAACACCTGATGGTGACTCTGTTTTAGAGTTTCCTGTTCTCACCACAGACTCCATTTCATTTCTGCTTTCAAGGTTGCCAGACATGCTTGGGTTCTGCCTAGCAACAGATATCCCAGCCAGCAATGATAGGAGGCCTAGTCTTGGGCAGGGCCAATCCAAAATAAGGCAGGGACGAGGGGCTGGGAGCTAATGTTTATATAGAGTTCTTATTTCTCTTTTGGATGCTGCTGGGGTACAGGGTTTGGAGAGTGGAGCCTCCTCCAACTACAGTGTGGTTGCAGGTGCCAGGCAATTACCAGTGGAAAGGGATGGCCAATCAAAGGAGAAGGAAGAGGAGGAGGGGGTCTTTCTCATCCTTGCTGATCATTTTGGGGGTACTTTCTCTAACAGGAATACAGGCAGGTGAGTCTAGGGGAGCATGAGGGAGGAAGGATGGAAGGCATCATGGTCTGTATCTGATGGGGTGTCCCTCAGTCACTACCCTAGTGGAAGAGTCCTGATATTGGTAGAAGACACTCAAGTAGGCAAACTAACAAGGTTATTATGACTACAAACATAAGGGCATCTGATGGGATGCTTCCCTTCTACCAAATAGTAGTTCAGGGCAATCTTCCAGGAAAAAGTGAGATTTGACCTTAGAGACTGAACATGGCTCTACTTCATATCTAAGTATGAATTGAATCAAAAGGATTTAGGGCTAGGTGGGGACCTAGTCTACAAGGGTAAAGTGAAGAGGAAAGGGATGAGAGTTAACAATCTTTGTTTAAGGTACAGGAACTCAAGGACCCAAAGAGTCAGTCCTAAGCTTTTATCTAGATAATAGGGTGAGAAGAATAGGGTGAGCTCCCAGGCTGCCAAATAAGGAAGGGAGGATGAAGAAGGAAAAGTTAATCAACTTTGAGGAAATTTAAAAAGAGGGAGGAGGGAAAACAGGAGAAGACAGGGGTGATATCTCACAGGTAGAGACCACACTCCACTGGACACCTGCTTGGAGTTCTATGGAAAATAATTTTATTTGATCCCTTTTTGAACCAAAGGCATCTCCAGTGTTCAACTAGCACCTACTCCACAAGGTTGTAGGAGAGATTCAAAGGAGCCAATTCAAGCACAGCATTTTTCAGTCTTTAAAGCACTGTAGAAATGCCAGTGACTGTTGTTACTGTTGTTCTAGACATGCAGTTTCATTGCCTTAGAACTCCTGAGGAGGAACCTCCCACTATCAATTCAGATCAGCACCTGTTCTGAAGCTTAGTCTCAGGAAATTGTTGCCTTGGCCACTGAAAGGCCAAATGACTTAAACAGTGTCACATAGCCAATATATGTCAGAGACAGAACTTGAACCCAGATCCTCCTGACTCCAAGTTTGACTCTGCATCATAACATACTGCCTTTATTAGTATTACTATGACTACTGCCACTTCTGCTCCCGCTGATACTCCCACCAGCAGGGTGAAATGCATACCTGTGTGGTCCCATTTGCTGCTGGCATCATATTGAAGCTTCTTTCAGTAAGCCTACATTGGATGAATTTACGTTGAATTACAATTTACATTGTAATAATTTTATTCATGTATGAAACAATTATTTTATCCGTGTGTGTAATAATCCCCAACGTGTTAAATACAAAGGAATGTGAGCCAGCTAGGGAATTAGTCTTAGGACAATTTCTATCTGAATCTCATTGAAAAAGCTGAGAACATTGCAATGATGATGATGATGTTGATGAAAGTGAGTGTGAAGGAAATGCTTCCCCTAGGCCCCAAGAGGTACAATGACTTGTTTAATATCATATCCCAAGCCCTCTGTTTCATTATAGTAGTAGCTGCTAAATCTTGTATAATCCTGACTATGGCTCTGTGGTATTTGAATTATTGCTTTCTGACCACTTTCCTTATTTTCTTCTTGGCCTGGGAGTTCTAGATTTTGGTTATTATGTTCCTGAGAGTTTTCAATTTGGGATTTCTTTCAGGAGGTGACGAGTGGATTCTTTAAGTTTCTACTATGTCCTCTGGTTTTAAGATACCTGGGTAGCTTTCTTTTCTAATATCTTTAAATATGTCTAGGTTCTTTTTTATGGCTTTTGGGTAGTTCAATGATGGTTGAATTATCTCTCCTAGATCTATTTTCCAGGATCATTCATATTTTCTTCTACTTTTAGTCTTTTGACTATTTTATAGTTTCTTCATGTCTCCACTTGCCCAATTATAATTTTTAAGGAGTTCTTTTCTTCAGTGAGGTTTTGTGCCTCCTTTACTATTTGTTCAAGTCTGATTCTTAAAGAAGTACTTTCTTCAGTATTATATTGTATTCTTTTAACATTTGGCCAAATCTGATATTTAAGAAGTTATTTTTCCATATTTTTGTACTTCTTTTGCCAAGCTATTAATTTTTTTCATAGTTTTCTTGCATAGCTCTTCTTTATTTTATCAATCTGTTCCTAGCCACTCTTATTTGATTTTTAAAAATAATTTACTTGTTCCTTAAAAAACCAAAAACTCTTTAACTCTTCTAGGAATTCTTGTTGGGCTTGTATCCAATCTGCATTTTTCTTTCTTTGAGGCTTTGTTTGTAGATGTTTTCAAGTCATTGTCTTCTTCTGAGTTTGTGTTCTGAGCTTCACTGCAACAATAATAGCTTTTTCTGGTCAGATATTGTGTGTGTGTGTGTGTGTGTGTGTGTGTGTGTGTGTGTGTGTGCACGTGTTTGCTTATTTTCCCAGTCTATTGTCAACTTTGAATTTTGTGTCAGAGTTAGGCTCTATTCATTTCTAGGGGAAGATGACTGGCCTGAACTTCTGTCCTTTATGTACTTCTGCTGATTTCACAAGTTGTTCTGGGGGACCTGTAAGTTTTTGGTGCCTCCGAAGTGGTGTAATATGGGAAGAGCTGTCTGCTTTCCTCCTGGTCTGCGCTTCACAAATTCCTGACTCACTTTGGGTTTCTTGGCTTGTGTGTGGTTGAGTTTCCATACTCAGCTACTGGACTCAGTCACAGAATACTGGGAGGTTCTGTAGGTTCAGAGCCACTGAACAGCTGATTTTCCCTTGGTCTTGGCCTCCTGTCCTAGCTTGTTTCACTGTAAGCTTACGTGTGGGGCTGAAGGTCAGGACGGAGTCCCTGCTGTGCTCTTGGGCTTCGAGTCACACAGCTAGGGTTCCGGATCTTGTTCCTTATTCTGTATACAGGTAAAGTCCTTGCTGCTTTGTGACCATGATTGCTCCTCTCCACCTGGAACTGTGACCTGAAATGGAGCAATGACTGACAGAAATACCAAATGGCGCCAATTCCTGCTCCTATTCTTGATATAGGGGTCCCCTGGGATCTCTTTCTGCTTAGGTGATCAGTTCCCTCATTGTCCCTGAGCACTGGTGTGCCACCACCACAGCCTGCTGCCTCTGGGCTCCTGTCCAGCCCCTACCCCAAGGTCCATAGAGATCTGTATCTCTCTTCTTAAGCTGTCCTGGTCCAGAAAAAATGACTCACTGTAACTTCTTTTTGGTTTTTATGATTAGAATTCAGTTTGGACTGTTTTCTAGATCATTGTAGAGGAGATTCTTGAGAAGCTAAGGCTAAATTATTACTTCGCACTTCACCATCTTGATTTCATTCTCCTTTCCTAAAGTCATAAGGAAGTAAACAACTGCCCCTGGGCTTCTTCTCGGTAAGTTCAGATCACAGTCCAGCATCAAGCCCAGAGAGGAAAAATGGAAAAATGGTGTTAATAATGACCACAGGCAGATGAAACCTGGGAGCCAGATATCCCAATGCCCTCACAGGCAAATCACTGGCAAGAAGGACTCAGTGTCTACACTGTTCCTGACTCCCTTTCTTGAGCTTTCACTTCTCTATTCACTTGAGCAGTGTGGCTGAGAGGAAAGCTGGTCAGCCTTGGAGTCAGGATGACCTGAATTCGACACCTGACTTGGATCCATAGTAGCTGCATGATCAGGGTCAAGGCATTTAGCTTCTCAGTCTTCCAGGTAACTGCCTAGCACTAAACATTATAGCTTAGTTGCTCATCTACATCAATGGAGGGAGCTTCCATGCTGGAATTTCCCTTACACTGATGAAATCGCAGTTTTAGTTCAAGAAACAAAAATTAATCCCTGATACTATAATTCAATAACAGCTTGAAGGGGCCTTGGAGCCTTTCAGGTCCAATCCCTTTATTTTATAAATAAGTAAATTGAGGTACAAAGAGGTTAAGTAATTTGCCCAGGGAGGCTAGATGGTAAGTGTCTGATGTAGGATTAGAACTGGGGTTTCTCTGACTCTAAATCCAGTGTTCTATCCACTGTGGCTATTCTCTTCATGAGGTGACCAAGAGAAGCAGGAGGACAAAGGGAAGAGTGAGAGAAGGCACATGGGTTTTGGACCTCCTCCCCACACCTGATCTCCTCTTTTCTTCTCTCCCCATCCCTTGCTGTCCTACAGCTCACCACAAACATGTGATACAGTTCACAACAGTGGGTACAGGAAGCTCCCTCTTGGACCACTTCATGGTGGACTTTCTGGATGATGTTCAGATGTTCTCCTATGACAAACATAACCAGCAGCTCATGGCCAAGGAGGCCTGGATCTCCCAGGCCCTGGGGGCCAAGTTCATAGCAAAGATTCGGCAGAAGTTAGTGGATCACGAGAAGAGTTTCCTCTGGTTCCTGAAGAAGTTGATGCAGAATGAGACCAAGCATGATGGTTAGTCAGCCACTCTTCCCTTCTCCCATGTATCCTTCCTTCCCTCTCTCTTCTTTCTCTCTTTCCCGCCATTGAGCCCAATGACCTCCTTTCTAGGAGCCCATGCCATTGGGCTGAGTATTCAGGATCTCAGAGCACTCTAGGGAGAAGAGAAGTACTTAGCTCTCACTGAACCACATCAGCTTCCCAAGGTATTGGCTTCCTCTCTTGGAACTGATCAATCAATCAATCAACATTTAATGAGGGCCTGCTATGTACTAGGAACTCCAGGGGTACCTTTGTCTTCATCCCAAGGTTTATCATTTTTCTCTACCCTCTGTATTGTTTGTATCATTGAACTTCACTTTGAAGCAATTAACCCCCTGTTCTTCCATGATTTCTGAATTCAGAAATCTGCTGTATAAAACTAACCAACCAACCATTGTCTGTCTTCTTCTTTTGCCATGGCCATTGTATTTCAATGCCTAATTATAGCAGTTACTTCCATCTGCTTCTTCCTTAGCCTGCTTCCACACCCTCTAAACCACCAGTTTATTTTTCTAGGGATTACTCACAAAAAAGGGGCAGGTACAAATTCATAAGTAATACACCAAGATAAGATGACTGGAAGCTCATATAATAGGAAACTGGTCAGGCTCATTCTGACATGATCAAGACCCTAAGCTATTCTTTCTTAACTACAGTTCCCAGCTTACCTTGATCATGATTATTCACAGGTAGGGAGCATCTGCCTCCCTTAGGAGCTCAAGAAATTGACATAAACAGGTCATCTTTAGAGATCTCAGAAGATAACCCTTGACAATATGGGACACTCCAAAGTTCCCTGCCTTCCTGTGACATCAATATAATAGCTCACATTTCTATCTTGCTTTTAATATATAATTTCCTTCACAACAACTCTGCAGGTAAGAATGGAAGTGACCTTTATGCCTATTTGATGAATGAAAATACTGAGGAATGGAGGTAAAGTCATTTCCCCGAGGTTATTCAGACAGTAAATGTCAGAGCTAGGATTCATACTGACTCTAGGTTCAGTACTCATATCATTATATTACCTTTCAACCCTCTCTATTCCCTCCAGTGAACCACACGTTGCAGGTTTGTGTACTCTGTGAGATTGAGAGAAACAGCCTTATAGGAAATGAAATCCAGAGTGCTGTCGATGGTCAGGAATTTTGCCTTCTGAATGAGGAGATGGGAAATCAGATTATGCCTGAGGCTCAGCCCTTCGAGGCGATTCTGACAAGTACCTTCTGGACCACTCAGAGGAAAGACTACATGGAAGAATATTGTATTAACACCATGAAAAAAATCCTGCAACACTCAAGTATAAAGAAGAATGGTGAGTACTTGGTCTTCCAACCCAATTCCCATCAGGACATCCAGGCCACCCTTTCCCATCTTCTTGATAGTGGCCAATGCCCAGGTGTGTGTGAGAAGTCAAAGTCCTGGCTTCAGCTTCAATCACTATGGGGTCTTGAGGGTTTGTGATCCTCATTATTGAAGGGAATAAGCACATAGATGAAATCATGGATATGAACACTAGAACATGTTGAAGATTCTGTTTTTTAATCCTATTGTAATAAACAAGACTATTGACCTCTTAATTGGGTTAGAAATCTGATGGTATTACTGGTATTACTGCTATTACTGGAGTGGTTTGCCATTTCCTTCTCCAGCTCATTTTACAGGTGAGGAAACTGATGCAAACTGGGTTACATGACTTGCCCAGGGTCACAAAGCTAGAAAGTATCTGAGGCCACAAATCAACAACCATTTGTTGAGGATCAACTATGTACAGAGGACACTGTAGAGGTATAAGGTGGACACTGAGAAAGTACATAATGAATCATGCAGTGCTTTGCCCTCCCAGACCTTATAGTCTTAAGGCCTTGGGCAATAAGAGAAATGAAAAAAAAGAGTAACAAAGGGAACAGAAAATGCTACTGAGATTGGCACATGATACCTTCTCTTCTGACCTCTACCTTTAGTGCCCCCTGAGGTGACTGTGTCCCACTATGAAGCCATGGATGGCATTACCACCCTCTGCTGTTCTGCTACTGGTTTCTACCCCAGCTCTATCCTGTTGCACTGGCAGAAGGGGAAGGAGATAATTGTGGCTGGGAAGGAGAGCTCCAGAGGCATTTTGCCCAATGCTGATTCTACCTTCTACCAAAGAATCACCATTGAACTCCCACCAGATGACCCGGGGACCAATTATGACTGTGTAGTGGACCATATTGAGCTGGGGACACCAAAAGCATATCCTGGTGAGTGCTTAGGTTTGTGTTGGTTGGGCTGAGTCCCAGGAGGATTGGCTGTGAAATGCTGTTGATCCCTCCCCCTTCTTCTAACTTCTCCAGAATATACCAATAAGGAAGACTTCCCAATGGGTATACTCCCCATTGTCACCTGGAAGATTTCTATTTGCATTAACTGTCTTCCCTTTATACTCTTCCTATTATTGCCACAGTCCATGTGAAGTATCCTAAAAAGAAGTGTTGGACTGTGACCTTGACCATCCTGGGTGTTGTCATTCTGGTGCTGAGCTATGCTGCATCCTTCATCATGTGGAATAAAATGAAGACAGGTGTGTATATGGAGAGAGAGGGGAAAAGACAAGACTAGAGTTCAGAAAGGTATAGGAGACATTGATATTTGACCAGCTTTTGAGGGTGTGGGAAACGAAAAAGAGCTTTGATTTCTATTTCCACCTTACCCTCTAGATCTAGGGGATTTGGGGACTTCTCTCTGAAAATTTTTTGAGATTTGATGTCTAGGTTCTTTCTTTTTGGTCATGATTCTCAGATAGTCTAATCATTCTTAAATTCTCTTTCTTCAATTTGTTTTGCTATGACACCTTACATTTCCTTCTATTTTTCAGGCTTTTGATTTTGTCTTAATATTTCTTCTGGTTTCATTCAGTCATTAAGTTTTATTTGGTCCATTCAAATTTTCAAGGAGTTTATTGCTTGGGCAAGGCTTTGTACCTCTTGTGCCAAGCTGTTAATTCTATTTCTGATTCTTTGTTCCATAGATCTCATTTCTTTCCCAAAAAACTCTTTCAACTCTCTCTTTTAATAAACTTTTGCTTCATCTCTTAGGAATTCTAGTTTAATCTGTCCCTAAGCACGCTCTCTCTCTCTCTCTCTCTCTCTCTCTCTCTCTCTCTCTCTCTCTGTCTCTCCCTTTCTCTGCTTGAGGCTTTGTTTGTAGATGTTTTGGAGTCATTCTCTTCTTCTGGGTTTGTGTCTTGAGTGTCCCTATCACCATAGTGGGTTTTGCGGTAGGATGCTTTCTGAGGTTTGCTCATTCTTTAAGCCTACTTCCTAACTTTGAGCTTTAGGTTACTGCTGGGCACTGCACACACTAGGAGGGAGTGTCTGGTCTGTTCCTGTTTCTTTGTCAAAGTATTGAGTGTTTTGTTCTTCAAAGATCTCAAGGACAGCTCAGGTTGGGGAACTGTAAATTTTCAGTGCCTTGAAGTTGTCTGATCCAGGGCCAAGTCTGATTTCCACCCTCCTTGTCTGAGCTCTGCAAGTTATAAACCTGGATTTGGGTCTGAGCAGCAGTTTTGTAGACTTGCCCTGTTTGAGTTACAGTAGATTTCTGCTGGACTCAGTTGCTATCAGTGAGATGGAAAGCTCTTCTGGTTTAGAGTGGCAAAATTGCAGGTTTCCCTTTGGGCTGAGATGACTGACCTGGTTATTTCTCAGTAGGCTTCAGTCTGGGCTAAAAGCTAGAACTGAGGTCACCCTCTGCTCCTGGGGTATAAACCACATAGCTGCTGCTTACTTCTGAACGGTCAGAAAGAGCGTTGTCAACAGAATCTCATAATTCCAGAGTTCAGAGGGATTACCATGGTCTTCTTGTCCAAATTGTGTCTGACTGAACAACAGTTCTTCAATGTCTCTGATGATCAATCTGCCTCAAGTTAGTTCAAAAGGAATGGGGATCTCATCATGTCCTGAATTATCTCTTTCTACTTTTGAAAGTTAGATTTTTTCTATCATACAAACAAAATCTGCCCCCTCATCTACCTTCCCTCCACATAGAATAAATTTAATTCCTCTTCCATGTGATAGCTCTACCATAGCTACCCCTATTGTTCTCTTCCCCAGGCCAAACTTCCCCTTTTCCTTAAAACTATTGTATGACGTTGTTTCTCATTCTCTTCCTATCCTATCATGGTAGATTTCTTGATATGCTACATGTTGCCAGTACCCTTCCTGAAAGTGGTCTTGACTACAATATAGTGTTCCACATGGGGGCTGACCAGGAGAGAGGGCAGTGGGACTATCACTTCCTCACTGGGCTTTTCTCTGAATACAACCTAAAACCATGATTACTTTCTCAACTGCCATGTAATTCCATTGACTCAAACTGAGTTTGCAATGTAGTAAAATTCCACCAAAGCTTCTTTCAAACAAATTTATGGATAATCATGCTTCCCCTATCCTGCTGTTAGAAGCTTTACCACTGATTTTATGCATTTCATCATATTAGTTTTGGCCCACGTTTCTAGCCTGTCTTAATCTTTCTGATGCTGGTGCTCATCCAACATGGTAGTTCTCCCAGCTAGCTTTGTTCCACCTACCGATTGATATGGATCCTAGTTATGCCCTTATTCATTTAATTTTGTTCATTTATTTCAACTTAATAAATATTGAAGGTTAGTGGCCCAAGAAGAGGCCCTAGAAACTTTACTTCAGGAGTGTGAAGAGAACTAGGCACCATCCTTGGCAAATGATTGATCTGATTGGGAGATAGTCTTTGTGCACAGACAACTCCTAGTCTGGTTTGGGAGATGCACAGTCCTTGCCTCTGGGGAAGGTAGTATAGGCAGAGATCAGGTGTGTTCTTGCTTTGAGAAAGGGGTATATAAGAACCACATCTCCAGGTCCACTCTCATTTGTACAATTTTTTGTGACTCTTAATTTTTTCACAGGTTACAGCATCCATGAGTGTGTTCCATTGGAAGGTGAGAAACTGGAGAATGGGGTAGGAAGAGAATGTAATGTTACCGAGAACCATAAAACATGTCTGCACTAAAAAAACCTTGTGACTCTTGGGGCAGGTCAGGGAGGGATGCCATGGAATGGGGGGGGGGGGAAGCAGTTCAGAGCAAAATAGTATGTGTATACGTGTGTGTGTGTGTGTGTGTGTGCATGTGTGTGTGTGTGTGTGTGTGTGTGAATCCTAGATCACTCATTCCCTTATCCTTACCTACCCAGAATGGGAATCCCAAAGGCAGTGGGAAAATGGACGCAGAAGAAGCCTGCCCTGTTAGCTGTTTCCCTAGATCCAGGCTATGAGGAAAACTATTTGAATGCACATAGAAAAGAAGAAAGAAATCACTTTTTCCAGCAGACATTCAATTGGACCTTCAAGGACACTAAAATATTCTGTGGTGTTTGCCTCAGAGACGCTATTGGCTCATTCCTGCTGAATATGAAGAAGCCCTATCCAGATATGAGGAGCTATCTCGGTGCCAGCCAGACCATTTCTTCATGCCTTCTCTCATCACATCCAATTCTGAGCCTTGGCTCCTGCTATTTCCCCTGCCTTGATTCTTCCTCTCTGTAAGTCATAGAGGCATTACCCTATTGTAGAGGGTTCTGAACTTGGAGTCAGGAGACATGGGTTTAATCTGGCCTCTGATACCTAATAGCCCAATGGCTATGGACAAATCACAACTCCTTTGAGGCTGAGGTGGCTCTCCGAGATTGTCTACCACTCTTCAGATTAGGTTGAGATCTGCTTGGAGGGGAGGACCCCACAGGCATTCTCTCACCAACAGAATCACAGACCCTTGTTTACACTGATATGTGAGAACCACATTTGAAGACTTCGGTGGTCATATGACTTTTTCAGTGTGAATGAAACCTCCACAGGGGCAGAGCATAACCTGCCCAAGTCCTCTCATCCATCTTGTGCAGTTCCTATCTTACCCAGGTCTTCCTGAGGCACCTAGGTGTTATAATGCTTAAAGTATTGGGCCTGGAGTCTGGGAGACCTGAGTGCAAATCCAGTCTTAGCTGCTAACTGTGTGACCCTGGGCACATCACTCAGCTTCTATTTGTCTCGGTTTCCTCATTTATACAATTGGGGTCATAATAGCACTGACTTCCCAGGATTGTTGTAAGGGTCAAATGAGATAATAATTTTAAAGTGCCTGGCACGTAATAGGCTCTTTATATACTAGCACTTGATGACAACAGCTTTCTTCAAGTCCATGCTCATGTTTGAGTATTGATATTTGTTTGCATGCTTAATCAATCAAGGAACAAACATCTATTAAGTCCCTCTATGTGCCAGGCACCATGCATGGCACTGGGGACACAAAGGCAAAGAATGAGACAATACCTGTATTTAAGGAAACTACATTCTATTGGAGGAAGCGACAGATATACACATGATTATGTACATGATATATGTGTGTATATGCATATGCATGTATGCATATATTTCATCTCAGCCTGTGATTTCATCAGTATTTGGAGATCCTGGTGAGGGACTCCCTTTTCCAATGTACGTTGACATCTTTCCTGCATTTTAGGCAATTGGGGTGAAGTGACTTGCCCAGGGTCACACAGCTAGTAAGTGTCAAGTGTTTGATCTGAGGCCAGATTTGAACTGAGGTCCTCTTGACTTCAGGGCCGGTGCTCCATCCACTGTGCCACCTAGCTGCCCCACTGCATGTTAGTCTTAGAGAGTTGTTTAGGGCACTAAGAGTCTAATGCATTTGCTTAGTGTCACATGGCAAGTAGGTGTCAGAGATGGGATGTGAAACCAGGTCTCTTGGCTTTGAGGCTAACTTTCTATTTGCCATGCCATGCTCCCTCTCATATACTTGAGTAGATGCATATATTAAAGCAATGATAATTATGGATAGCATTTATATAGCCCTTTAAAAGTTGGCACAGTGCTTTACAAATTTCACTTGATTTCCACAAAAACTCTGTGAGTTTTAATTACCCTCATTTTACATTTGAGGAAACTGAGGCTGAGAAAGAATAAATAGCTTGCCCAGGATCACATGGCCAGTAAGAATCTGAGGCAGAATTTGAAAGGAAATATTTTCGACTCCAAGTTTAGCATTCTATTCATTGTGCTACCTATGGATTATTAAGAGGAAGAGATGAGGCACAAAAAGATGAAGATTCTTGTGCAAGGTTATGTAGCCAGTTTTAGGGCAGAGGCAGATTTCTTCCATGAGTCTATTGGTTTTGCCACTATACTCTAATATCTCCCCTCCCTGATCAAGGATAGTTCTTTCAGTCCTTTAGGAGTCCCAGGTGTATACAGATTGGAAAGAACATCAGACTGGGAGACAAAACCAGTATGAAGATTGTATGCTGTCACGTATTCCTTCATTTTTTTTCTTCTTTTAAGATAATAAAAACATAACAAAAATCACCCCCAGGCCCTCCAACTTATTTGGCACCCTCTATGACTCCCAATGACATTATGATTTTTTGATGAAGCTTCTATAATCCCACCCCTCCTCATTAGAATGCTAAACTTCTTCTTATATAAATTATTTTCCATTGGTTTGCTTCTATTTACTTTATGTTTCTCTTTAGTCTCTTGCTTATATTTCAAGTTTCTACTCAGCTCCAGTTATTTCATCAGTAATTCTTGGAAGCCCTCTATTTTATTAAGTCAATTTTCCCCCCCTGTAGGATTATAGGCACTTTTACTGGGTAAGTTGTTCTTGGTGCTAAGCCTACATCTTTTGCCTTTTAGAATATCTCCTTCTATGCTCTTTGGCCTCCTTCACAGCTGTTCACTCTTGTGTGATCCTGTGTTCCTTGTCACTCTTTCTTTCCTCCTGCTTATGGAATTTTTTCCTTTAACCTGAAAAACATTCTTGAGGTTTGTTTTGAGGTTTCTTGTAGGAATCAATTGGTAGATGCTTTCTTTTTTTTTTATAGTCATAATATTTATTCAGAAGAAAATGTCATAATAATCATAAATTTTACTCACACAATTATAAACTTTATACCCAGAGCAACAGTATCTGATGCATCACGGTTGACCCATAAACCTGAGTCACATTCTTCTACTAATGTATGTGGTACCTATGGGAAACTAGGGGCATACATTTATAGAATCCTAGCAAAGGAGACACATGAATAGGGAAATCCATGTGCTTAAGGGCAACCCATATCTCTGAAATGTAGGCTTTGATATCTTTGGTCCCCTCAGGAATAATTTATACTACATGAAGCTACTTCTCTGCAAGTACAGACCCTTGTAGTCTTCTCTGATTTTGTGCTGAATAAAGCTTACTTCTCTTCTGCTCTGGAGCTCATGAAGCAGTGTCAAGGTCTTTTAACTGTCAGCCACCCCTTAACAGGAAGCTGAAAAAAAAGTGTTTTTTTTTTCAGTGACAGGCAGTTCCCATAATCCAGAGAGCTGCTAAGTTTTTCAGATCTACAAATGGCAAGGGAATTTTGCTTTATCTAATGGGCTCTCAGCAAAGCCAGTCCTCTTCTCACAGCAAAACAGACAAAAAGCCTGTGTTTCCCCTTCTGTCTTTACTTCTCAAACCAAAGATGGTAACAAAGAGTAACCAGACACCCCTGAGAATTTTCCCTTCTCTCAGGCTGTGGATGTCATTAGAGAACTATAAATTCAACCCTCTAATAGCTGCAGGATTCAGCTCTTATCCACATCATCAGTACAAACAGTTGAAGAACTCTCTCAGCTGATTCAACCTTTCTCCAGCTATTCACAAAGTAATGTCCTTTTGTAATCGACAAGTTTCTCAATATGCAACTACAAAGCCTTCCAGTCCACTTGGTTCCTGTCAGTTTCTAAAATTCAGTCCCTGGAGTCTTATGACTTCTCCAGAGCTCAGCTTACTTTCCTGTTTCTTCTGTCTCTCTCTTTCTATGACTTCTTCTCCTGCTGGATTCTTATGCCTTCAAATTAATGCTTCATGGAGCTCAGTGACTCAACTCTATCTGATGAGATAAAACTCAAGAAACTCACTTTTGCATCGTATATGAACCCAACAGTCCTTAAATAATCCTCCCACCATACCCAGCTATTTGATTTATAATTTTGTCAGGGTCAGTCTTTCAAACTCTAAAAATCAATCACTTGCGAATGAGCTGATAGATCACGATGCCTTAAAGCCATCCTTACCACAGTCACTGCATGATTTCAAACAAGTTCTCACAGTACGTTTAGCTGAGGGGAAGGTCTCTTTCTGGGCTTCAGAACAGTCCCTGTCACCCTTATATTTTACTTGTGAGATTGTGTTTCTTCACAAGTGGATTTCATTAGTCTTCCTTTCACCATTGTTATTTTTCTGCCTCTGTTAGGAACCAAATAGTTCATATGAGAAAGGGGGCAGTACCTTATATTTAGGTGAAGAATCTGAGACCCAGAGAGAGATTAAATGACTTGGTTCAGAGTTATAGTACAGCTTCAGACAGAAGAGATATGAAGTGAAACATTTTAAGAATAATTCATGCAATTAACTGCCCATCATATGCATATGGTTAATTGACTTTATAAATTAGTGATGACTAGATTTTAGGTCTGTTGCCTCCTGTTGTATGACATAGTCATAGAATATACCCCAAGCACCTCATTCCATGAGGAATGAAGGCTAATGTTAAAAAAGACTAAGCAAAAAAACATTATGAATACAATTTAGTTGTTCCTCCCTCTTTCTCACCTAATTAAAAAAAATACAGCTCTATGTAATGTATTTCTAGAGTGCTGGACTTAGGTTAGCAAGGTAGACATTTAAATTCTGCCTGAGATACTTACTAGCTCTGTGATCCTGAGCAAGTAACATAACCTCCCTGGGTTTCAGTTCCTCCCAAGTAAAATGAAGAAGTTGGGCTACATGGCAGCTCAGGTTCTTTCCAGTTCAAAACGCAGGATCCTAGGGTCTAAGAGGTAAAGGAATGAATGATTCAAACCCACATTTATGACTACGGGTCTAGTGTTCTGTCCATTGCAAATTATCCAAACACCTGGCTTTGATGATTTTACTCACTTGATTAAGTAGACACTGGTGGTTTATAATCATATAGATAATTTGGTTTTAAAAATAAGATTTAGATTTAAACCTAGAAGGCCTTCTAAAGACCTAGGCCTACTTTTTATTTTATAGATGAAGAAATTGAAGCCTGGAGAATTGTCCAGGGTCATACAGGTAGTGAGTGGCAAAACTGAGTTCTGAACCCAGTTGCTGCAATTCCAAATTCAGCTACTTTTACACAGTGCCACCCTAGGCAGGGAGGATGACACAGTGGGAAAGAACATTGAATCTCAATCCTTTGGATATTTTCTGTTTGCACGTTGTCCTCTTGTCTTAATTGCTCTCCTCATCTCTGCCTTCTTACTCCATCACCCGCTTCCTTCAAATGGCAGCTAAAATCCTACTTTCTAAAGGAGGCCTTTCCTGCTTCCTCTTAATTCTCTCTATTGGTTATCTCCAATTTACTTTGTGTGTTGCTTGTCTGTACCAAATCATTTACGTATTGTCTCCTCCATTCGACTGTGAGCTCTGAGAGCAGGGATAGTCTTTGACTTTTTTTTGCATCCCCCACAGCTTAGCATAGTACTTGACATAAAGAAGGTGATTTATAAATGTTTATTGATTGACTAATATGTCTGAGCAGTTTTATTTCATGATTTCTTAAAATATGATATCTAAGCATTTAGTTGGGTCATGGCTTTTAGGTAGCCCAATGATTCTTTTAAAATATATTATAATATTCTTAATAATTCATTTCCCCCCAATTATATATAATCTTTTAAAACATTAATTTTTAAAATTTTGAGTTCCAAATTTTCTCCCTCCATCTCTCCCCTATCCCTTTCCTGAGGTGGTAAGCAATTGAGTTATAAGCAATGTATAAGGTGTACATTGGAGTCATCAAAACATATTTCCATGTTAGTCACATTGTTATTAAAATTTTGTTTGATTTTTAATTTATGGAATAAAACAAGCATTTCCTTAACAGTATAAATAAAAATAAATAAATAAAAAGATGACTGTGCATGAAACCACAAATTCACTACCTATAACTTGTTATTACTTTTAAAAATACAACAAAGTTATTATATAAATTTCTTTTTTCTTTTTTTTCCTTTTTTTCTCTCCCCCACCATATCCTAGACATGGCCAGCATTAGACACAAATAGGTATACATATATGTAAAATTATTTTCTGCATACTTCTATTTATGAGTTCTTTCTTTGGATGCAGATAGCATATTTCTTCATTTGTCCTTTATAGTTAATTTGGGGATTTGTAATAGTCAAAATGAGTTATTCACTCAAAGTCATTCTTCAAACAATATTGCTGTTAGTGTACATGATGTTTTCTTGGTTCTGCTGATTTTGCTCTTCATTATTTCATGCAAGTCTTTCTGTGTTTTTCTAGGATCATTGAGTTAACCATTCTTTTTTTTTTTTTTTTTTGGCTAGGCAATGGGGTTAAGTGACTTGCCCAGGGTCACACAGCTAGTAAGTTTTATGTGTCTAAGGCCAGATTTGAACTCAGGGTTTCCTGACTCCAGGGCCAGTGCTCTATCCACTGTGCCACCTAGCTGCCCCCGAGTTCACCATTCTTATAGCACAGTAGTATTCCATCACAC